AGTAAGTTACAGACAAGATGGGTGATAGTAGCCAAACACAAAGCAATGTCTAACAAAGGTTTGGTAGATTTCGTTTCCAGTTTGGACAAATGAAACCAATTCGGTGCATTCTGAATTCTATGTGGAAACCCCTGCATTCTATTTGAAGGCCACCAGATGGCGATGGCTGCGATTATAAAAAATAAAAATAAATAAATAAATAACAAGACTGATATAGATTTCTATGGGAAACAGATTTTTATCCATCAATCCTTTTTCTGAAGCTGGCTTGCAGAGGCAGCAGCCTAAGCAGAGAAGCTCAGACCTCCCCGTTCCTCGTCCTCCAGCCTATTCAAGTGAACATGGAAGTGGTGCTCCCAGGCCAGCCAAAAGATGCAAGCGTGTCCTGGGTCTACCCCGAGGCCTTATTCTGGTAGGACATGCTTAGAACACCTCATGCAGGAGGCGCTCATCCTGGTCAAACGCCTGAACCACCTCAGCTGGGTCATTTTGATGTGGAGTAGCAGCAGCTCTACGCAGAGTCCCTCCGAAGGTTATTATATTTTATTGACAGGACACAGACTGAAATGCTAGGATGGCTCCTGCGTTGCCTACTAACATTACGAGATTGAACGTTAGCATTGGGAACACAGTTGATTTTTCAGCTGCAATGCCAACTATCTCAAACAAAATAGCAATATTTCCTAAGAAAAATAATATTTTAAGAAGATGTTGCATTGAAACTCATTCCCCCTCGAATTCTTTGGACAGATCTTGTCTATGGATAGTTCCTTCACTAAATTTAAAGGATTTCCTCCCTTTGTCTACAAAGCTGGACAGTATCACTTGGATATTGGTTTGACTGCCTTTCCTATCCGCAAGTTAGGGTGGACACATCGCAGAAGTTGTACTAGTCGCAATCTTCCATGTGCTGTTTTTTTGCGTGCTTATGGACATCTTTCTTCTTCAGCATGTAAGGACAGACTGGAACACTTGTAGACATATGCTGCCCCCTTCAGTTCCAGAAGAACTGTAGTGGCAGATATGCTGCACGCGGTACCCACGGTAATAAAGAAAAACACGAGTACCATCGTGTTGTCAGAATATCTGAATCAAAAGTTCTAAGTATTGGTTCTGGTGACATCCTAATTACAATATGAATGTCGGTCTAACAAAAAGATTTAAAGCCACGAGAGTATAAGCAGTAAATTTAGGACTGAAGAAAGAGAGAGAGAAGAAAAAAGTGGAGGCTGAGCTCAGAGGTGGCATCACTAATCAGTCTTTTTACTGGCATGCTGTCAAGAGAACAACAAGACAGAATCACTGGGAGAATTCCAAAGAATGGATAAAAATCAGCCATTAGCAGCTGAATCATACTGGTGTGATGATAGAAGAACAGAAGAAACTATGATGCATAGAGCCACTATTTCTGTGGAGACAATCGTCTCCAGGAATACATGATAACCTTTTTTTGTTACAGCCTGAGTGCTCTACACAAGACTGAGATTAAATGTTCACTTTCAGATTTAGCTTAGGTGAACGGTTTAATTGAAACTTAGTGTCTTTAGCAGCAACATAACCATCGATCTAAATTACGCAGACTTGCATAGCCAAGATCCTAGGATTCAAATTTCCGCTGTCATAAGAAAGTGTGAGACTAATTAAGTGTATGTTTAAGTATGAACAAGAACATTTATTATCATCAAAAAAGGCAACCTAAGCAGAATTTTTTCTGTTGACATCAACATCTGATAAGGATCAAAATTGAGAGCAGGAATAAAATCATTCATTCTGCTCAAGCCTGATTCAAGATGACAGAAGAGTCCAGGCCTCGCTGGTTTTCATGTGGCTCGAAATGGGCAGTTGACCAGATGACACAGCCAATAGTACACTGCATCTTTGTTTCTTCAGTGAGGAAAGAAACAAGGCCACAGCCAGTGACCCCGAAGACTTGTTGTGACATCTGGCACTGGAATACTGCGACGTTATCAGCCGGGCACTTAACAGAAGTACGACACACCAGAACAGCCCTCCTCACCTCTGCCTCAAGTTGTTGAGATCCTCAGTGGATCATATTTTATGAGATATGAACCATGTAGTTAGTCCATATGAAGTTTGAGTTAGACTCGAAGGAATACTCAACTCAGATGAATTATAACTTGATGGTGAATATATATGGCTAGACATTGACTTTTTTGTCTTTTAGCCTTTTATCAAGTCATTTTGGACACAGCAGACTGCCTCAATTTGAGGAAAGATTTCAGGCATTTTAAGTCATTAATAAATATGGTGCTCCATCCTTTTCAAAGGATCAAAAGGCAATTAACATAGCCTTTGGGCTATTTGCACAAAAGCTGTTGATTATCCCGGAATCCTTTCCATGGTACAGAAAAATCCCTTTGTCGGATCAATTCATATGAAGAACACCTCCAGGTACCCAAGTGGGCAATTAAGGTTCCCAAGGGGCCACATGAGAAAACGGGCCCTTATTGTTAAGCTCACAGTGAGCAGAGACTTCAACAATAAGCTGAACTCACTGCTCACTGTTAATTTTATCTCGTCAGAAGCTTATTGGTGCAGTCCTCCACAACAGGCCCATTTTCTCAGGTTAACATGGGAAAATTAATTGCCCACTCCTGCTCCAGGTGGTAGATGTATTATCATTCAGTTCCACTAGCATGAGGTGCAGACCAGTAATTGGCGCCAGGAACAGAATAAAATGTCTACTAGACACGCCGAGAATCGACTAAAACGGCTCATGATCCAAGGAATACAACATCACCTCTACAACACTGGGCAGGGAGTCTAACATATGGCCATTCGTAGCTTCCAACCAGCTGTCACTGGCTTGCTGATGTTTAAGCAATGTGACAGAAGACAGGTAAAGACCGATGAATTCAAGTGTAGAGCACAACGTTTTGCTCAGATTCAGTGAAAAGTTAAAAAGAAATTTTTTTTTTTGAAAATGAATATTTTAATTTATGATTATGTTCATTTGCCCAATCACATTACAGCTCCTAATGGCTTTAATTCCTTAACAGTTAATAGGATTTCTCCCAGCCTCTTGAATTAAAGCTAAACATCTCCACTTAAACTGAATATTTATTGCACAAATAATCACTGTGGTGGCATACACTCAAAATTATGCCTTTGTATCCAAATGCTTCTAGACATTATTTCCTCTGAACCTAAAAAGTAAGTAAATGCAGCTGTTATTTCACTATTGGTCAACCACTTGTACTTAAGTTCACTTCGTTTATCATAATAAAACCTGAAGCACTCAGTTAGGAAACTGCTGCTGATTTTGTCATCCATCCTCAACTGCAGTTCAAAAGACAGCACACACATCCTGGTCTAAACAGCAGCCAATAATGTGCAGTACAGTTCCTTTGACACAAAACATCCCCCTAAAGACGTTTTAACGTCTACCCCAACTGTGTCAGACGTCTGCGTTCGCATATTGAGTTTCACTGGCTACTTTATAGTAAAGAACACCTTTAGGTGTTCGAGGCTGTGTGAAAACAGTGCTTGACATTAGAGTGTCCAAAGGAAAGCACTCATTATCATAAAAACCTCAAACAGTAAAATTGCTCCTTTATCAGCTATCAGTTATCTGGAGGGAAATGAGGTTAACTGGCCTGGAAGGACCACAAGCAGCCACCTAGCAAGCACAGCATGAGAGGAGGCTCCTGGGTGCTGAAGAGGGGCGGAGAGTTGTCAAAACCAGCCAGAAGTGCACATCGAGCTACTACCCAAAGGCATCATTCACTCCAACTTGACGCATATTTCAAACTTTGAGCATAATGTAACACATTCATTATTGTATTACAGAATTCATCCAACCAGCACCTACAACCAGGCTGCATCCCCTCAATCTCCTACACCTGTAAAACTTGGCTGTTGAATGTTGCTATGTGTGAAAGTAGGAGTTTTCACTCCCACACACCAACAATCACCCCACAAAACTGCGAGTAGCAAACAATAAGGTTCAACCTTTAAGTTAAAGAGCTAAGGCTCAATAAATTGATTTGACTTTAAAATCAGCAATTTGCTGATGCAAAAAGCATTGCCGTAACCATTTCTCCATAAAAGCAGAAGCACTCCCCATCCGCCACCATCTACATATCAAAGCATTTCAGAGTAATCACCCCATCACGGCCTTGACAGGTGCAAGCTGGTGGCCTGGAACAAAGCCAATCCTCATATATCAGGGCAACTTTAAAAGATGACCCAGTTGACACTGCGAAACACTGTAACTGCAATCGGATCCTTGTGAAGCATGTAATCATTTAGCCCCGATGTGTGTCAGTTCTCATAAGGACAGGATGCTGCTAAGCACCCCCTTTAATGAGGTCTAGCTTCTCTGTAATAAGACAGAGGAGGTGGGAGATGCTACAAAATCATTTTGGATCACTGCTTTAAATCTATTCCAACTGCGACTCCTTTACAGGTTCTTGTCTCCAGTCTTAACAGCATAAAGGAGAATCGCTTTAATTTGAGCCGCAACAAGCAATTGTTGATATAGCTGCTCAAAAGTTAAAGGTAATCTGCAATCGTTTTCATAATGGGTCAGAAATTTTACTCACTTTCAAATAGAAAAAAAACAAAAAACAAAGCAAAACCAACTTGGGGGGTTTCAGCTTCTGATGTGTTGCTCAGACCTTTGAGAAATAAGCTCCAGATGAAATAATCAACAAAATAACTGACTGTCAACTAAATTTGGAAGCAACTGTTAGCTGTAGTTTTTTTTAATCTTGTGGATCTTATTTTGAAAATATGAACTTTTCTCCAGGTAGGTGCTGCTGGGGAAAACCTCATTATGCAGAATACCAGAGCGTTTTCTACCCACGAGTTTCTGCAGGTGTGTGCTTGCGCGCGCGTGTGTGTGTGCCCGCGGGTACATGTAACAAGGAGGGGGAAAAAACCCAAACCCGCCCTACATTTTAAACCGGGTTCAAAATGATGCACTGTCTGAAGAAAGGGTAAAGAAAGGCTTAACTGGAGCAAGAGAAATCACTCACCGGCCAAGCAAACTGGAAGGGGATCACAATCCTGCCAGCATCGCCGACTTTATTCGGGTTATTGTTGGCGCCCTTAAGAGAAAACGTATTTCCACCGACAACTTGCGTAGATTCAGCTCCGAACGTGCAGGAGCCAGTGGTGGCCACCTCCATCTGATATTCCTTCAGGCACACTTTGAAGTAAGTGTCGCACTCGTCTTGAGTGCAGCTCAGGTCCTGGGAGCTCCGGGGACCGTCGCAGCACTCCCCGTCCGCCAACTCGCCGTTTACATTCTCCACGGAGATCAGCTGCAGCTCGAAATAGCCGGTTGACTGGGACACCTACAACCAACGTATATACATTTTTTTTAATAGAGAGAACTACATATAGGCTCTTGTGGAGAAATTACAGCATAATTTATACATCTTAATCTGGTGCGTAAAAAATAGTATGGAAGTGGCCAAATCTGAGTCTTACTCTCCATTTAAAACGGTATAGAGGTTTTGGAGATTGGGTGGATGTGCCACAATATTTTTCTGCATCATGAATGGAGCACGTGAACAGCGTACAGTTTGCACGCTGGGATTTTAGACAATCAGGTTACTCTCAGACGGGAGCGAATTAACCGCTGCAGCAGCCAATTGATGCAATCCAACTTACAACTTGTTTGGTTCAGGCCTAATTCTCTCCCCTCAAGAAGATGAAGAAATTCAAATAAAGGAGTCAGCATTAAACCAAAATGGAGAGTAGCCTGTATCAATTCCTTACACTTGTCATGGTAACACGATCACATGCTCCACAACTGACGGCTACGTAATTCAATTATCGATTAATGTGACGCGAATATGCGTCGCCGGAGAGCCAACGCATCGCTCCACGCCCACCAACTTTTTAATTTGAATTTTAAACATTTTTTTTTTAAATTAGCAGAATTAAATACGAGTAATAAATAAATTATTTTTAAAAACACCCTCTTACCTCCGTCCATAACGTCAACAGCAGGCACACTATTGGGAAGCAATTCCTAATCCTGGTGAGATTCCACATGCCTCCGACTAATTAGAGTGATATGTGGGGAGGGGGGGACGATCTAAAAAAAAAAAAAAAAAAGACAAACAGCCGCGGACCCGGCGACTAGTTCCTCCTCTCCATACATGCAAAGATGGAATATTGACACGCGTGTCGTCTCCAACGTGTACGTCCCGATTTCAGCGAGGCATTACATGCGTGTGTGTGAACAGGCGGCGGATTGCAGGCGCAGTGATGGTCCATGTACAGCAGCGTCCCTCCGTCAAATCTCTCCACACAGCAACTGAGATGTTTCGTTGCCACAGCCTGAGGAGAGGATGTCTGCTGTGATTGGCAGCTCCGCAAACCACTTACAAATTGGCCTGCGGGCAGTCTCTGAGCCAACCGGATTAAGGGGCGGACAATAGTATAATAACCCCCGCTTCAATCCTCCTCCACCTCCGCCTCCTCCCAAAACTTGAATTGTACTGCCTTTCTATTGAGCTTCATTTAGACAAACCGCATTACAGCGTGCAAACAAAGCAGGGGTCGACTTTAATTAAACGCGGCCGCAAAGATATTATAATGAGCATGGCCATTAGCCTATGTCAAATTAGGAACTTATCGGCGCTGCTGTGCTTTTAATTACAGTCTTAATTAGGCCCAGAGACAAATTTGGATGGGTGTTTAAATGAAGTGACGCCCGATGGCAGAAGGCACATTAAAAAAATGATTTGCTCCTAAAGTTAAAAATAAAAAATAAAGCCCTACAAGTGTGCTAAATGTTTGGCGTTAATCTGCGGGGATTACTTGATTCGTTTACAGTACAGTTTCATTTTCTTTTCAAGTGGTTGCTTTTGATTTGATCTAATAATGCTTAAAATTGTTGCCACTAACACCGTTTTTGGAGTGATATGGAGAAATAAAGAGGTGCTAAAGTATTTAATCTAATCATCCACATTTCTGGATTATTAACTGCGATTAAAGGTTAAAAAAAAGAGGAAGGAAAAAAAATACTCCATACAACGCAACACTTTTCAGTCCACGAATTGCAGTTTAGAGCGCCCTCTACTGTCTATGCAATACTCGTCAACTTTAAAAATATGAAATCATGTTCGAATTTTTCCAGTATTTTTTAGGTGTTGCGCGGATCTTAAGTTAAAAACACAAACCTACTGTTGGTGCAGCATTTCCCATCATACATTTTCTCTTGTTTCCTTTGCTTCTCTGTTCTCTGCTGCATCTCATTGCTATTTTATTTGACCACACAAATCCACAATAAAACCTCTCCCTTATTGACTTAATGAGCTTCCTTGTCCTCAGCTCATTCCGCTGCCTTTATACTCCACGAGGAGTGGAGGTGACCCCCTCTCGAAGAACGCAACGACAGCAGCAAGCGCGTTTGGTCATATAAAATGACTCCTCTTCTCTCAGATTGTACACAGAGAAATACATGCTCACAGAAACAGATGTTTGGGATACCTGCATCACCTGACAGCGCACTCAGGTGATCTGGTCCTCCCTGACAGATGGTAAGTCCTTACCAGTGTTTTTCCATGCTTTTTAAGCCCATTATAAGCACAGCAATACTCATTTCTCAAAGCATGTTCAAGCTCTTTTGATATTTCTTTCTTCCTGCATTGAAGAAGTGAATTAAGGTCACTTCTAATAGGCAAGCTGCAACTAGCGGCTGCTCACTCCGAAACCTAAAGCACCTGCTGTGAAAAAGGCTGCTGTGAAAAGGCTCCCACTTTAACCATTCCAGTTATTCACCCACAACTAAGAATGAATTCTCCTTTAATCTAATTTACACTTTTACAACTTCCTCATCTTCGACCCGATTGAGCCAGAGTGTCCACAAATTGTATTTCTTCAGTACTATGAGCCACACCTTAGCATGAGCGTGATTTGTAGGTTAAAGCTCCCGATATCCAGTAGTTTAGCAGCCCTTTATTTGTTATTTTGCTAAATACTATAATCATGTAAGGTTTTAAGTAAGATGTGCACTCATATTAACAGGACTGGATGTTTTTGACTGCAACATTAACTGCATGGGTCATAGATGGGAGGTATTTAAAGAAAACTAACACTCAGTTTCAAGCCTAACATTGCTCCGTTAAACAAGTACCCAGATAAACTGGCCAAAAACTATGACAACAATTCTACAGGCTCAGGTAGACATTTACCACGCTACCAGGATAAACTGCCACTCAAAATGTACGTGACAGCAGCCTTCAGCCTCCTTTCATGTCACTGTCTCCTCCTCATCAGGCGCCTGCCAACCTGTCAGATAGGCCTTGAAGGAGGCTGCCGATATCCTAAGCCACCGCAGTCGCTTTGACTGGAACATTTCACACGCTGTCACAAGTACATGTTAGTGCCTTAAGTTGGATAAGTAAATAGTCTTGGGTGGCAAAGGAACAATGTGTAAGAGTGTGCATGTTCCATGCTGGGAGATAATGGTTCAGCTTGTGGTCAGCCCAAAAAAACGTGATGCAGGCTCAAAATACAGTATTTAAATTTTTGGTTGCTTAAAAATTCTTGTGCGCTACCCTAAACCTACTGACCCAATGTCTGCACTGTTTAAAAGGAATCATGAGAGTGGTATTTGTGGCTTTGGGATATTTTGCCAATGTTGCAAACACAAATGTTCCCCTCTGGGATCCATAAATTTTCAAACTACAGCCAATAATTTTCTTTTTTACTGAATACTGGAGCTAACGACCTGCCCGGGATGCACCGTGCTCTCATTGTCTGACAGCTGGCATAGGTTCAAGTCAGCCCCATGACCCTAGGTAAGCAGAGGAAGATGGATGGATGAAAGGACTGTTGCTACTGGTCTTATTGGTTTTTGGTGTTGCTAAACTAAGGCAGTGACCAGCATGTTTGCATTGCTATTAGGATGCTGGTGTTAATGTTTAGCAGAGAGCCCTAGAGTAAAGCCTAAGAGATAGATGTGGCTTTAGATTTACCTGTTAAAGTCCTCTATATATGAAGGTTATTCATAACCAATCTCTTGCATTAAAAGCATATATTAAAAATGCTTTTATTCCCATATTCAGCACTTCAATAGCCAGGCCTGTTTTCATGTCACAGTAGAAACGCATCTGTGAAAGCATTTAGACGTTTATGATTCACTAATATGAGTCTCTCCTTTAAATGTGTGACTAATGCAATTTGTTCAGCATATCTTTAAGCTCAAGGATTCTTAATACATTCGGTTTTTTTTTTATAAAATTGATCAAAGGGGGGGAAAAAACCCGCATTCTGAATTGAATCCCAACAAGAGAAAATCAATCAATAGATTTAAGATTCATGGAGCCTCGCTTTATCACATCAGTCACGGATAACATCTATAATGTTATAAAAGACTAATATTAGCACCAAACTGATGAATTCTAACACCTACCGAGGACCTGAGGCGGTGTGTGTGCCTACCGTGTCTTCCTGTTTGCATACACCACATGCATGTGTTTGAGGCGCAGGGAGAGGAGTGTGTGTGCAGGAGGAGAAAGGATTATGAGTGGGAGCGCTGTGGGGGGTTTGCCAGCCTCCAGGGGGGAGGTGAAGTGGATTTCTTCTCTCATCCATTTTTCATGGCTTTTCTCCTTTCAGATCTCCAGTCTCTGTACATACGGCTGACGGGTCGATTCTCTTTTATCTTTAAGCATCTTTCGGCAACTCTGTGTGTGTGTGTGTGTGTGTGTGTGCGGTGGTGGTGTTTGGCGGGGGTGGTGGAGGTGGCTTGGGTCAAGGTTGAGGCGTGCTGTTTTTCATCAAGCTCTAATGGCTACGAAGATGATGATCATTTGCTGATGTCTTTGGATTTTTAATAGAGGTGGGTAGCTTCATTACCTTGGTCGGAGGAGAGTGAATTCCAAATACTTAGTGAGGTCTGTGATTTCTACAGTGCAGATGGCTGCATCTCAGAGGAATATTACAGAGGCCGGTCCACATGGACCATAAACACTACTATTTAATAGCAGTTTATTTCTCTTGTGGATTTATTCAAACTCATGTCTTTAAAAGGGACTTTGAATGATTAAAGACCTCCGTTTGCGACCTCTAGAGTTCAGCCTTCACTGACCAAACTTGTTTCGTGGCCACAACCTTTCCCCCTTGACCTACTTAACTGGCATCAATAACTGCAATATTCCTATTTAGAGAGGCAGTTTAGGTTCAGAACGTAACGATCACCTTGATGGCTTTGTCCTTTCTGGTTTTCAAGGTCTTTTGTTTTTTTATTGTTGTTTTATCTACTGTAGTTTTGATAGTTTCATTATTATCTGTGAAATAATTACTTCTTTTTGATCGAATCTATGCTTTATACCACTACATGCATGTCAGAAAAGGCTGAAGAATTGTAGCTGCTCCAAAGCAAACTAACCTGACCTGGTAAAAGACATTTCGCCAGCCATATAGTGTATATTTTTGTAGTCAGCATAAGTCAGGTTTCTCGATTTCAGTATCTCTGAAGTGGCCTTTAATGTGGCCACCTTCAGTTGCTGCTTGGCTATGAGTCATTCTGCCTTCAGTTTCATCTGCACTCATGACTTATTTCTCTTCCTATCGCTGTGGTACTACATAATCTTGTTTTCATCAGCCCAAAGACTTTTTTCCAGAACTGTGCTGGCTCTTCTGTCAAAATCTACTCTGGTCTTTTTGTTCTTCAGCGGAAACAGCGGTTTACACCTTGTAGTCAAACCCTCTGCATTTCCATTCATGAAGGCGTCTCTTTAGACTACCTCCTCAAAGGCGTACTTCATTTAATTAGATGTTGTGAGACTGTTTTTCCTTAACCATGGATTCACTGCCATTCACTTTCAGGTCTAAGTGTTATAATCAGGGTACTAAAAGGTCTTTTAGGCCTTCTAGTGTTGCAGAGTTGGTCAGTGCATTTAGTCTTTTAAAGAAAGTACCAGGTTGTTGATTTTGCCACTCCAAAGGTTTTTGATGGCTACTTTATTTAGCTTTTCATCTTAATGATAACCTTCAGTGAAATTCAACACCTTGGATTAACTTTAGATATTAAGTCTGCTTCATTTGTCATGAAATAAGAGGAACAAGCCTCACCTGGCCATGAATGTACTTGTCAGCCAAATGTCCAATATGAGTCTGAGCATCTGAAAATGGAGGATTGTGTGTAAAAATGGCTGTAAGTTGATGTAAAAGCCCTTGAATTAACAATAACATATCGATTGCTTGTTTTAAAACCGATGGTTGTGCTCCAAGAACCATATGCTCCTTTCTTTCTACATATGCATAGTGCTTTGAACCAAATAGGCTTATTATGTGTCATATGAATGCAGG